GCAGGGAATCCATAGAGAGGCCTGAGAGGCCAGCCCCATCACCAACTAAGTGGACAGCACCACCCCTCCCCAGAAGAATTCACTTCGGAGGACAGCACTGAAGCTACAGCTCAAGGAGAGGGACTTGTCTGATCAGAGCACACAGGAGCCAACAAGGAGGGAAAGAGGGGGGGAGAGTGAAGCACATCCTGGTTCACCAAGCCGTGAGTAGGATCTCAGAGAGACTCATAAAAGCAGTTTCCCAATGCAAAGTCTTTTCTCTTAACTCTAAAACCCCAAAATGGAGGGCCTGACCTCTGTTCAACCACTTCTACAGCCTCGCCTAGCCCACCACCCAGCTGACTTTAGAAATATATACCACAAAAGGACTTAAAGCTTTCCAAAGTTGCAGATGCTCTTGACTCAGGGAAATTTACACTGGAGAACCCCTTCACATCTATTTTCTGTAGGTCACATACACATTTTCTGAAGGTCACAAAGGATAGGTCACCATCTCCTAATGTGTTTATAGCTCCTGGCCTCTACAAGGGGCTTTTTCTTAGCCTCCTGAGTCCTAACACTGTGCCTTTAAACTAATGTTTAGGGAATAAAAGAGCCAGTGGGCAAGTAATCTTACTTATTAAGATAAAATTCCTCCACATTCTGGAATAAGCTAAACACATTAAGGTATGAATCATATATTATTGCATTTTGACAAAATGAAAGATGTAAAAAATCTAGGGGAGAGAGAGAGAGCAACGAATATATATACACAGAGGAATACTATGCGCCCCTAAAGAATGGCAATAAAACCAAAAAACACATACTGACAGGGATAGGCCTGGACACCATTATGCTAAGTGAAGTATACTCAGTGCCATGGAGTCAATGCTGATTCATGGCAACTCCCTAGGAGTTTCTGAGACTGTAATTATTTTGAAAGCCTAGTGTTTCCCCGGAGGAGCTACTGTTGGTTTGGAACAACCAACTGTGTGGATCACAGCCCAACTCACAACCACTACACCAAGTTAGTCCATCATAAAAGGACACATATTGTAGTCCTACTACTACAAGGATATACACCAAGAAAGAGGCCGGCTTCTGTTCTCAGGTCATTTACTCTTCTAACCTGGTTTGCCAAGCTACAAGATAGAGGGCCTGCTTAGTCCCATGAACCATATATCACTGCTTTTATCTGTGCATCTTAAAAAACATTTTGACAGGGGAGAGCTCACTTCAACTGGATCAGCTTCTGAAGATACAGGAAAAGGGAGAAGACTATTCAGTTGCTGCTATACAACATTGTGCTTATGGTCACCCCAGAGTAACAGAAACGTATCCAAGAGTGATAAGCAAAACCTACTGGAAATGTAAGCCAAATGGGGAAATGGGGGGCATGTATGTGTCATGGAATGCAATTACACTTATATGTTGTTGGGTAAACTGGATGGAGTAGCTTCTCATTAAGAGCAACCACTTAATACTTCCATGGTATCCAAGTATTAGGTTCCTTATTGAACATATTTTTTTCTTATTGGACACCTTTGACCTAGTTTCTGTCCAGTCCTTGGAGATGTAAGGGATGTGCTACACCCTACTGGGACTTTAGACTCTGTCTTTTTGAGGCACACATCTTTCATAAGCTGGAAAAGAAGGATTCCATGTGTAAACCCCACTAAACGAACGTGGCTTTACCACAAACTCCTCTGTAGAAGATTTAAGTAACTGACATGCGAGGGGGGAACCCCCACCAAAAATGGGGAAAAGTTCCACTGGATGGAGCTTTAGTAGTACGCATTTTTCATGCGAGGCAAGCATGGAACACCTCTCTGAGTTAGTGCATCCGGTCCGTAGCCTGGGAAGGTTCTCTCTGGTCACAGTGATTTTTTTTGTAAAAACAGTTTCGCTCGAACCTCATTTTTTGTGATGGCCAATTTCAGAGAACAGTGTGCAGCTGTGAAATGTTTCCTGCTCAGGGAAAAATGTCGCAGAAACTGTTGTGATGTTGAACACAGCTTATAAGTACAACACTATGGGGGAAACTCAAGAGGGAAAACTCAAGAGTAATAGTGATTTTCTCATTTCAAGGGGAAAGCTCAAGAGTATGAGTGATTTTCTCATTTCAAAAAAGTTGTAATGTTAATTGGTGATGAACCTCGTTCTGGACTTTCCTCAACTTCCCAAATGGATGAAAATGTTGACTGGAAGTGCATCTGGAGTTTGTTCCACCAGTTCAGACTGTTAAGTAACCTTTCTCCTTAGAAGTTCTGAAAAGATTGCGTAACAGTGTGAGACAAACAAAGGCCTGATTTGTGGCAGACAGGGGCCTGGTTTTGCCAGCACGTCAATGCACCTGCTCACACAGCCATCTCAGTGTGCTAGCCTTTGGCAAAACACCTTTGGGGTAAGCATGCCTCTCTTACCCCACGCACCTGACTCACGTGACTATGCTCAGTGAGACTTGTTTTTGTTTCTGAGACGAAGGACATGAAAGGACAGCATATTGACAAAGTAGAAGAGGTGAAGAAGAAAAAACAGAGCGGTGCTGTCAGCCATCCAAACAGATGAATTTGTAAAATGTTTCCAAGAATGGAATTGCAGATCTGACAAAGGTTTTAAGTATAATGGAGAGTACTTTGAAGGTGATAAGGGCTGTTTTGTAAAAAAATGTAAATACATAGCTTTGGGGGAAAATTAATTACAAAATTTTAATGCTGTCTCTAAAGTGAACTTGAGTCATATACAAACCATGAATGGATTTTGAACTTTCACTTAATTCTAGCCCCAATCTAAATACAATTAGTCCTTATGATACTTCCCCTCAACATTTGCCCTCATGAAGAGATCACTGAAGCTATGGGTGCTATAGCAAAGTGTAATAAATAAACCAGATGGTGTACCTCTGACAGAAATAGTAGCGTCTGGGACCTTAAAAGGTTGTGTTAAAACAAGCAGCCATCTGTGTGAGGCATTGAGTAAGTCCTCATGGAGGAAGCTTACCATCCCGTGCGGTACAAGGGTCGTAAAGTACAAAGCCTAAATTTGAAGAAGGGACTGGCATCAGAGCACAAGTTGTAAATGCCTGGACTGCAAAAGAACATGGGTGACAGTGGAAGCCCCAAATCCATTGGCAGTGTATACGCGTGGATTAAGCTTCCTGTGAATCCCCTCTGAGCATAGGTTAGGAATGTGAATCGCCTTGTCATCCAGCAGAGAGTATTGCCATGTTGATTATGGCAGATAGCTCACTACCATCCAGTCAATTCTGACTCATAGCAACCCTATGAGACAGGGTAGAACTTGTTCCTGAGAAGTAGCTATTGAGTTTGAAATGTTGGATTAGCAGCCCAACAGATCACCATTAAACCCCAGAGCAGAAATAGTTAGGATAAAATGTAATATCCTATCATTTGATACCCCTTTTCATCCATTTTAAAGTTGTTCCAGTAAAAAACCAAACCAAACCAAACAAACAAACAAATGTCAAGGGAAATACATGGGACTTCAGCCCCCCGTGCATCCTCTTTGACCCAAGACCAGGGATAAAAATAGCCTTGTTATCAAGCAGAATGCATTGGAAAGTAAATTATTGCAGATGTGCATTGGTTAAAATGTAGCACCTTAGCATTTGATCTCCCTATTTTAAATTTGCTCTGATTTTTAATATTCCAGCTTTCTTTTCTATTGTAGTTTTCCTGTTTGACCTTATTATTGTTGTTAGCTTTTTATTTTGCTTTAAAAGATTTTTTCTGTACATAAAATATAGGATAAATAATTCTGTAGAGATAGTCACTAGATTAATGGTTCCTTGGTGGGTCTATCGGGGAAGGTTGGGGGAGATGGGGAGCTAACAATGATGAGGACAAGAAGGAAGAAAATGTTCTAAAACTGATTGTGGTGATGATTGTACAACTCTTCTTAATATGTTTCAACTATTGGATTGTATGGTTTGGGAATTATATGCCAAGAAAACTATTTAAAACATATAAAGTCAAGCCAAAAAACAAAAAGAAAGATAGACAGATGAGAAGAAAAGGATCTCAAAAAAATAGAATAGCTTATTTTATCTCCCTTTTGACTCATTTGTAAACTGGTTTGTTTTCATATACTTCACATATGTAATTGAATCATTCAATCATATTAAGAAGATTGGTGCCATTATAATCTCAATTTCATAAGCTTTTCTTCTTATATTTATTGTTCTCATTCCATTTTCACCCCATCCACCTCTACCACACCCTTATTAAGTTACTGTTTCTATAGATCTATCTATTATGTATTTGCTATACGAAAAATCACACACAACAAAAAACAATTATACAAAATCATACAAAGCAATGTTGTTTCAATTTTTATTGATTTCTGCTTCCTTTTCTAGTGAGAGTTTATCCTGTTTTGTCTAGTCATTATTGTTGTTTTTAATTGTCTGTTTGGCTAGGTGTTATTATTGGTTTTAATTGTCTGTTTGATTGCTTCCAGTGTGTGTGTTTTATGACTTCTAAATCTATAGAGACAGGAACTGGATTAATAATTGCCTCTTTCAAGGCAGGGGACAATAAGGGGCAATGGAGTGCTAGGAACAAATAGTATGAAGGAAAAGTTTCTGAAATGGATTGTGGAGATTATTGCACACTCATTCTAGTTGAATAATTAAATTGTAAGTTATCTCAAGTCAATTCTGTAAAAACTACTTTTTGAAAATATAATCTAGAAATCTAGAGAAAATTTATATAAACTTTCCCAAGTGTGTTTTGTGCAATTTGAATAACAATCAATGGTTCAGCCAGTAAAAATAAAAACAAAAAATTCAGACAAGTTAAGAATTGATTATGCTTTATTTTCCACCCCTGCTAGTTCATTATCCCAACAATATAACATAAAGTTTCCTTGAGGTTTTCAAGATAATCTCTAATTTCAGGTCAGATTATCTAATCTGAGCAAAAGAAAACCTCAGATTTCACAGGCGGCGAGAACAGTTGCTACACCTGAACTTGGCAAACGCATTGGCCAGGCCAGTAGCACTAACCATGGCTATCAGGCTGTGATGGACTGTCACTTCCTTTCTCACAGCCTGCTCATAGATGGATGAGAGGGAACTGGGAATGACATCATTGACCTTGGCCATAAACTCAAGAATTTTAGTCTTGGAAGCTTCAGCATGGGCTCTGGGGCCCCACAGGAATTCATAGCACGGTGGATCACTGTTGGGCACCTGCCGGTACTCCAGGTACTTCAGCCTCACCAGGTCTTTGGTGATGAGCTTCTTGGGCTCTCCATAGATGAAGTGCTTCCTCCCAGGAAATATGCGCATTATATTCAGGAATTCCCAGATCATCTTCTCAGTGGCACGGTGGCCCTTCAATAAGATCACCCCCAGCAGAATCATCAGTAGCCCTGTTTTGGGCAAGCCCCTGCCAGGATAGACCCGACCATTGTTGGGGAGGGCCAGTTTGCTGACAAGAGTGTAGGATTCAATGGAGCAGTCAGCTTGCTTGACTTCAACCGCAAACCCCACCTCAAGGTTCTCAGCTGCCTGCTTGAGAATCTCAGGAAACCGGTCTTTGTGTTTGGGACTGATAATCTTCAACATGTCAGCCTTGGTAATGGGCTGCTTCAGTTTAAACTTGTACAGCATAAAGTGCTCCAACAAATCTGCCCTCAAGGAAATAGGGTCAAGGCACAAGGCTTCATTGTTCGGGGAATTTAAACAGTCCATATGTGGTCCTCGATCAGCTCTTCTGTCTATAGAAGTATTGATGCTAGAAGAGGGTCCCCGGGGTTCTTGGGGACTAAGAGGGCCCTTAGCAGCATCAGAACTCTGGGTGTTCTCCTCACAAAGAGGAGAGGAGGAGGAGGAACTGGGCTTTTCTCGTACTGCTGCCTCATCATGAGCACCTCCCTGATCACGGGCCTCCCCTTGAACCTGCTGGTGTTTCTCATCCTTCTGGGGTTTAATCTTATGCTGTCGAGGCATGGTTCCTCTGGTCAAGGGCAGCACTCAGCGTCCTAGGCAGTAGGGCAGGTGACGTGAGCTCTGGGGCCGTGGGATGCTGAGAAGATGTGCACCCTTCAGCGCGAAGATGCCTCTTTGGTTTTATTGAAGACACCTGCAGTTTCCCATAAGGACACTGTCCTAGCAACACAGGAAGCTTCCTTGCTCCTGGGAGCCTGTCTTTGAGAATTCTGTGGGGGAAGGTAGAGATTGCAATAGGTTACTTCCTGCCTCCTCTGCCTGAGGTTTACTGGGGCTGACAGCAGGGTCTCATAGAGGGAAAGCTTCTATTGCTGAGTGAGAGTCTGTCTCAGTTCATGTTTAGGGTAGCATGTGAAGTGGTTTCACAACTCTTATACACCTTTACTTCTGCTTCCCTGAAAATGACACCTCAAATTAAGGTAGGTACCTCCCCTGAAGCTCCCAAAGTAGAACTTCAGACTACCACAGTGACCCAAATCACCCAGTACTGATATCTGTCTGGGATTCATTCATAGACCCTTCAACTGTTATTCATAACTTTCCTCTCACTTCCATGGAGAAGCTCAGAGCCCACCCCTTGGTTGCCTGATGGCTGGATCCTCAGACCAGAGGCCTCACTTTCTTGCAATCTGATTTCAAGAAGTGAGGGGGAAACCACCACAGCCTCTTAGCCCTGACCTGGACTTGCAAGACCTAAAAGAAGGAAAGAAAGTCAGAGGCCTTGCTGTCCCTTCTATTTAAAGGTGGGTGGTCTCCTCAGTCCCTGCATTGACTGTGGGGTGACCTGAGATACGCCCACCCTTGTCCTGAGGCTTTATCCTGAGACTCCAAGCTGCAGTGATGGTTGACTCCTTTGACTTCTCCTGTCTCTGGTCTCCAAAGCTGGCTAAGAGTAGGGAAGTGATTCAAAGATTTTCCCACTGTCATCAGGTGGGTGGGCCCCAAATCTTCACCTTGGCTCCATTAAAACCAGGAAATAATTCTGCTCTTGACTTTTGAAAATTGCCCTTGAACCAAGCCCCTCGAAACCTGATGGCAGAATAACAAGGAGTAGAATTTGTTCTATCAACAACAGCCTTGTATCCCAGGGATGCCCACAAGGCAGGGCTCTGTATGTCAGTTCTGATGGAGGAAGTTTCTCTCAGCCCTAAGGATAGCATCTTCATTGAATCTCGTCCAGCCCTAGGTCTCCTTTTGCTGACTTCAGTCCTATACCTTAGACTAAGTCCCTTACCAGCATCTCCATTGGCTGACGCCTGGAGTGGGTTTCATACCCTGTATGTCTAGGAGAGCTTAAGATGCTTTATTCCAATCAGCTGCGTCCCACAACCTCAGAATAAGGCTCTCACCTCTATCAGGCAACAGTGGATGAAGTCTGGGATACATCCTGAGGATCCCCATATCTGGACCTTCCTATAAATGATCTCAAGACAAAGAATCTATGGGACTTTCTCTGTTGATGGATGGAGTGTACCTTTAATCAACATCTATGATCAAATTGATTACTATCAGACCATGGCCTCCTATTTCTCCTGAGTTACATAGACCCCTTGATTGAATATTCACATATCCTTGAAAACCTTGAAATAAAAATGATGGCATATTCATCTTGGCAACCCTGTCTGGAGCTCTTCATGTCCAAGAACACACATAAGTCTGTCTGTTGTTGACCCCATACATTCTGAAAATTCAGTCCCCCTAGTCATCCCACATGGGATATCCTTATCTTGGTTCTCATTTCTCTGACTAAAGATTTTTCTGGAAAATTCCACATCCCTGTAAACATTTGTGTCCTACTTCACACGATGTAGAGACTGGGTGCCTCTCCCAGAGTGAGGAGTGATGTGAAACGAACAAGCTCGCACACCAACTGGAGCCCCAGGGGATGGCCTGTATTTTATGTACTGTATATACTCGTGTATAAGCCGAGTTTTTCAACACATTTTTTAAATGCCATTTTAGTGGTAAAATAAGGTGCCACGGCTGATATTTGGGTCAGCCTATACTCAAGTATATACAGTAATTACAGATCACTCCAGGAGAGAAGTGAACCTCACAACCCAATTAAATGGCAGGTTCAGCAATAGGGGAATTTTCTTCGGGAGTTTTGGCAAAGGAGAATTTTTGCCTCCTTTTGCATGCTTTATCCAAGAGAATCACATATTCACAGGCATCTACAGGATGAATGGACTTATAAGACAGTGGGTAGGAAACTCACTGAGCTTTGCACATTCTCAGGTTAACAAGGAGGTAAGCCACATATCTGGACTGTAGCACTGGTTGTAAGTTCCTCTAGTGACTGCACTAATAATATATCCCACTCCTCCCAGCTTAAGAAGCGCGGGTGGGGTAGTGGGTTACACAATGGGCTGCTAACAGTAAGGCTAGCAGTCAAAAAGCACCAGCTGCTCTGCGGAAGAAAGATAAGGCCTTTAAACTACGCTGAATAGTTACCATGTACCCAGGTACAGATAAGCGCCCAGGACACGCAGAATCTAGGTCAGATAAACCTCTCAAGAACAGAAATGGGAGTAGCGTTACCAGGAGGATAAGGGGAAAGTGGAGAGAGGAGAGGTGGAGAAACTGCGGGGGAAGAGCTGTAAGAGGTCCCAATACAATGATCTTTAAAAAAAAGATGTCAAATGTCAAATAAATTAATATTGATCATTGCCTTGACATTATATATAAATATTTATAAGCTTTTGTTATAAAATGTCAAAAAGTTAGTAAGAGTTTGCAGTGTGTTTACTACATACTATAAAACTCTGAAAACATCAATAATAAAACAATACATTAAAATATATGAGTATCAATAAGCTGGAATATTGTATATTATTTCATAATATACATATATGTAACTTTTAATAACAATTATGATGATGAAAAAGAAATATAGTTTGACATAAACAGACTCTACTATGTGTTAGAACTGTCCTAAATTCTCAGTCATTTACATGAATATTTGATTTATGGGAAAAAATTCTAGATCAATTGGCCTAATTAATATACATTTAAAAATACTATAATGATGCTCTTTATGAGAAAGAGAAACCTTCCACCACCTGTGAGCAGATATTTTACAGCTGTATCTGGAAATGAAAATTCATCAATAGGTATCTTTATCACATTATCAAAGTATAAAAGTGTTCATCCTCATCCTGAACAATATTGTTTCTAGGAATATCAATAATGATATTTTTATGAAGTTTAAAAATGATAGATCATATATTTCAATGTAATTTTTTAACTTGCTTACACATTTTTATAAATGTATATGAACACCACTTACTAAGACGTAGGGTACAAAAAAGAAAAAGTTACAATCTCGGAGACCCACAGGGGCAGCTCTATCCAATGGCAGTATATTTTTTGTTGGTTTTAGCTTTTTAGCCTACTTGGTTTATTAATTTACTTTCCTTTCTTACTACTCCAAAATGATTCCGACACATAAGCAGAACCTTGTGCCCAAAGCACGGTTTTGGAATGCATAGTAGGAGCAGGAAACAGACCCAAACTCATCAGAGGTATTAGTGAAGAAAAGCAGGAAGTAATGTTTGGTGACAATCTGATTCTCTAAATAGACAATGCCAGTTACCGTCTAAAGATCGAACTAACTCACTAATTAACTAACTAATGCAGAAAACTAACGAACTCCTTGCTGTTGAGTTGATTCTGGCTTTTAGCATGCCAATATGTCTCAGCGCAGAACTGGGCTCCATTGGCTTTCCTTTCTTCCAAGGTGCCTCTGGGCTGGTTTGAGCCACCAACACTTTAGTTTATAGTCTAGAATTTAACAGGTTGTACTTTCTATTGCCTCATTAATTTTTTTAAAGTTAATATTCTGAAAGGAGGAGAGGCTCAAAAAATTATCAGATCCAGTTCCTTTCTTGTAGAGTCAGAGTTTTAGAATGGAAATTACATACAAAGGTGTCTAAGTTTGGACGGTGAAGAGAAGACCTAGATCTCTGAGAACCCACCTCCTGGGCCTCCTGCTTCGTCCTCAGCTTCTCCATCACTCCTCACTCTGGGAGAGGGACCCAGTCTCTACATAGTGGTCAGGGGGGCACACATGGTTACCAGCACGTGGAACCTTACATAAAGTCTTTAATCAGAGAAACGGGAACCAATATAAGGACATCCCATGTGGGAGTGAGAGATGGGAGCTAGAGAGCCCGCAGGCAGAGTGAGGGAAAGAGGCCCTGCAGCGGAAAGCGCTGGGAGAGGCTGGATGTCTGGAGGGGTGATTTCAACAGCCTAGGACAATTTAAATCTTAAGTCTGCAGGCCTCACCTGTAGGCTGATTTTATCCTCCCAAGTCAGCAACCACAAGATTCTATTTGCTGATTTTTTGCATGCTTACTTTCCTGTCAGTGCCTGTGCAAGACCCAGACTTGGGGAGTGCAACAGCCATGATTATGATTGGACCTGATAAATAAGACCAGAATTGGTCTGTTCATAACCTGGAGACAAAGAGAGGCCAACCAAGTACCCCACATCTGATACAAGCCCCCTACACACGGTTCACTCGGGAGCAATTCACTCGGGTCCCCACTTGCTGTGCCAGGGGTGTTCCTTTCCATTCCAAATGAAGTTTGACTTTTGCTTGCCTTTTGTGCTCCGTGAGGCCATTCTTCAGTTCTCAAGACCAACAGCCCCCAGCCAGCAGTTCTCAACCTATGGGTCGTGACACCTTCAGGGGTCAAACGACCCTTTCACAGGGGTCACCCGATTCATAACAGTAGCAAAATGACAGTGATGAAGTAGCAACGCAAATAACGTTATGGTTGGGGGGGTCAACCCAACGTGAGGAGCTGCATGAAAGGTTCACGGCATTAGGAAGGTTGAGAACCACTGCACTAGGCACATCAGAGCTGCTGCAACACTTTGACGCCCAATCCAGGGCATCTCTATAGAACGAGAAGACCACAGACTCCGACCTATGCTTTGCCTTTGCCTTCTCCTTTCAGATTCCCTCTGGAAGGGGTCAGATCTCCTTTGCC